TTTTTCTTTTTTTTTTTTTTTGCTTTCTTTCTTGCTTGCTTCCTTCCTTTCTTCTTTCCTCTCTCCCCCTCCCTTTCTTTTTGCAGTCAGTACTGGTAATTGAACGCAGGGCCTTTGTACTGAGCTACATCCCATGCTCTTATTTTATTTTGAGACAGGGTCTCACTAAGTTGCTAAATTGCCCAGACTGGACTTAGATTTGCAATCCTCCCGCCTCAGCCTCCAGAGCCTGGGATTACAGGTGTGTGTCACTCTGCCTGGCTTAACACTGTTTTTCTATCCCTGTTTAGCTGGCTGGCAGTGCCCCAGAGGCCGGCATGGCTGCAGGACTTGATGGTCAGTGCGAAACTGATTTTACTGGGGCCAGAATCTGCCTTGCCCAGTTCCTGGCAGTGATCGCCTGAGGCCTGTCTCCGCGCCCTGATAACAGGCTTATGGGTTGAACAGAGGCTGCTGGGAAGGTAAGGGGCCACCTTCAGGGGTCAAAGGCTGAACTCGCATCCTTCCTACCTCTCGGTCTGCTCCCAAGCAGCTGAAGGTAAGAACAGAGTGGAGTGCAATTCTCCAATATACCACTAGATGGAGCTGCAAGCCTTCAGACGAGAGGCAGGTTTCTGGGACCCAGGATCCAGGGCGGGCAGGCCCCCGCACGGAGAGAAGGGGAACCCTGGGGTGGATCTGCTTCAGCTGAAGCTTCTGGAAAAGTAGGGCCTGTGCTGGGAAGGAAGCCCTCTCCCCACTTAGATCTGCAGTTCCAGAGAGGGGCAGGGCAGGGCAGGGCCTGGGGCTGTCAGTTTGAGGGTGTCCCTCTCTGCACCTTGATACAAGATCCTGGTACCGACCAGGGGCCCTGCCTGCCACGAGCGGGCCCCGTGCTCCTCCTCTTGTCAGTCGGTAGCCGTGGGGATTAGGGGTCCCGCGCCCTGGGATCGGGCCTGGCCAGGGTCATCATGGTCCTCACCAGGGTGTGGGAACTATTGCGGCTGACATCCGGTGCTGCTCTTTGTGAGACGCCAGAGGGTGGCGCAGAGGGAAAGCTGTTCCCAGGGCCAAGGCAAGCCTGGGTTTGCTGGGCCTTCTGGGAGGTCTGTGTGTGGCTGGGATGCAGGATGCAAGAGTCACCTAGAAGGGCGGGAGAGGTGGGGAAGGTGGGAGCTCCCCAGGCACCCACTGACCACAGGTGCCTGAGGCTGTATCTGCCCTACTTCCTTCTTATCACAAGGGCCTCCAGATGGCCACATGGAATGCTCCCTGCGGGTGGGAGAGGGCCTGGGGGAAGCCCCACAGAGCCCAGCACTCACCCTGTCCCTTCTGCCCTGGTCCTGTCCCTCTCTGGCCCCAGAAGACTTGGCCCTGGCTGAGGCCTTCATACCTCTGGGCAGCTCTATCCACCCTGGCCTTTGGAGCCAGTCCAGGGGTCTGGCCCCGGTCCTAGTGGAGTGGGTCTCCAGGGGGCCAGATGGAAAGGGGACCCGGATATTGGCGGGCTGTCCAGACTCTGGGCAGTGGGTGTGGTCGGGATGCTAGAGGTCAGGCAAGAGCTGGACCTGAAAAGGGAGCTGGGAGCTTGCAGATGGGGCATGGTCTCTCGGTGAGGCTCAAATCCAGCCTTCTCCCCTTCAGCTATGGGTCCTGCATTGCCAGGAGGTTACCATGGGGGGCTGTTGCAGGCCTCCCTTGGAGACTAGCTAGGAAGTGGACTGAAGTCACACTCTGCTTCTGACTGTGGGTTTCTGGCTTCCCTAGAGCCTCCCGGTGAGCCCTTGGGCTGCAGGTCCTCACCGCGGATGAGGTGATCTAGGGGAGCAGAAGTGAGCAGGAAGGTGTGGACGGGATCCAGCCGGCCCTGTGGTTCTCCCTAGTGCGTCCCACACCCGCCGCGCCAGCTAGCTCCACCAGAGGGCGCTGTCCAGAGGGCTCGCGCAGGAGGAGCTCTGCCCTGAGGGTGGGCTCTAAGTCCCTGAAGTCCCCAGCTGGTGTTCCCTGACCCCAAGTGCGTCCAACATTTGAGGTGGAGGTCCATTCTTCGGGCTTCGCTGCCCGACATCCCCGGGGTCTGTCTCACTGGCAGCACCTCTCTTCCGGTGGGAGGAGGGTGGCATTTCTGTCCTGAGTCTTCTCACTCCAGGGTCCCTTGTTTCGAGGTGAGCATTGTTGGTGCACATTGTGGCCAGTCTGGGGCTTCGGGTTCCTGACTCTCGAACAGGTCTCCAGAGCCAGCCGGAGACCGGAGCTAACCGCCACCGTCCAGCCCACCAATAGCCAGCTTGTAAAGTCCCAGACCTGTCGCCTGCCCCACCCTGCAGGCTGCCCGTGCCTGGTGGTGCCTCCCACCCTGCTCCCCCAGAGCTGCTCAGCTGCCTGACCTTGAGATGCCAAGCGACCTGTGGTGTCACCAGGTAGGTGGTGGGCAGAGCGGAGTGGGGGTGATGCCTCCTCCCGGCTCATCCCACTCCTGGCCCCTGGGCTTCTCCTGTTGTTCTCTCTCCCTCTGGCCTCCTGGGTCACAATTTCCCAGAAAGCTGTACCTGCTTGGCCAGCACTGCCAGGACCTCAGGCTTGGTTTCTGGGGGGAGCCTGGCCCAAGCCTGCCCTCCCACTAACGGTTGCACTCACCCAACCAGCCCTCAAAGGAGCCAGCCACCCTCCCGCGGGCCCGTCACGTCCCCTGGCTGGTGGCTGCCTCTCCAGAAAGTGGCACCTGCTCCGGGTTGTAAGCGGGGCCACCATGAGCCTCCTCCTCCAAAGGCGTCTTCTGAGGACCCCACGCCTACGACAAAGGGCAGGATCAATCCCTCTTCTGATGCGCTGTGAGAGGGCTCGCCCTACGAGGGAGACGGGAGACGAGACGTTTAATTTATCGCAGGAACTGGGAGCAAGTTATAAAAATGGTAATTTCTTGGAGATTCAATTACGTGTTTTCATTGTTACCCTCGGTAATCAAGGAAACGATTTTTAAAGATAGGCTGTGGGATGATAGCAATCTTGCGGGGAGGATCGAGCTGGCTGGGCGGTTAGGGGAGGCGGAGAAGGATGGTGTCCGCAGGCGAGTGGGGCCGAGCTGTCCTGGGGTCCCTCGCCCACACCCCGAGCCTCAGCCGGGCCCACCTGCAGGTGAGCCCATCTCTGAGGCCGTGCAGCCCGCTGTGCCAGTCTGCACTGGGGGAGAAGTTAGGAAAGGGCGTCAGCTCCAGGGCCTCACGGCCGGGGGAATGGGTCCGTCCTGTGGCTTCCCTGCCCAGCACTCTTTCATGTGCTGCGTGGAGAGCGGCTCGGGGCTTCTCGTGGGGCTTGGGCCCGATCCCCCCACCCCAGGTGTTTTCTTGGCTCTAAACAACATCTCCAGGATTAACAGTGCTGGCGGCCGACAGCACCGGGTGATTGGAAAAGGGTTTTATGGCCCCGAGGGTGAAATTGAACTTGCATCCAACGTGTAGTTCCAAGATGGGTTTTTCCTTCCCAGCAAATGCAGCGCATTTCACACTAATTGTAAGGGTCGCTCCTGGCCACTCATCACTTACAGCAGGCTGGGCACCCACCTGGGTCACAGGGCCAAGCCCGCATAGCCTGGGGTGGAGACCGGGGGCAGCTCTGGGGAGATGGCTTTGTCCCGTCCTGGGCCAGGCCAGGGGAGAGGAGGCAGATGAGCTGGCTGGCCTGGGCCTCAACATGGCCTAGCGTCCAGGCTGTGGGGAGGCTCCCTGGCACCTTCCGTCACCCGGGGTGGGGCCTGGGCTGTGCCTCCTCTGAGAGCCCCAACTCATGTCCCCGCACTGCAGTCCAGGAGCACAGTCATCCTGCCTCCACCCTGGCGAGGGGTCTTCAAGTCTCAGAGCTCTGTCCGAGCAGGCCAGAGAGGAGCGGCGACAGGCAGAGAGCTCCTTGGGCTGGGCTGGAGCCTGGGGAGGGAAGATAAGTCTGCTCTCCACACAGAGAGAGGCTGTCGTCGTCGTAGGGGCAGCCCCCGTCCTCGGGCGGGGCGAGCTGCTGGCCTGGTGCGGGTTCCCAGGTGAGGACACAGGTCCCAGGGAGGCAGGGTTTGTCTGGGGCCACACCTGTCGCTGGACAATAGAGAAGGTTAGTGAGGGAGGCCTGGGGCCGGTGGGCCTGCAGGCAGTGGGGTGTGACGTCAAGGGATCCGGGAGCCATGGCGGGAGGCTGGCAGAGATCACAGAGTGGCCCCACCTGCCACCAGTGAGGCGCAAGGGAGGGTGGTGCCCAGCATCCTGAAAGAGGACTTTTCCCAGAGTAATTACCTTCGATTCACTTGTAGTAAATACTAGGCTATTTTTCCCTTTCCAATAATTGCTCTTATTTATTTTTAACTAAGATTAAATGTTCCCTGTGAGCTGCAGATATACTGACTGCCTTGTCAGACTTGGCCAAAGTGCCCTCGCCTTGCCTCGGGGCAGCCCGCCAGGTAGGGAAGCGCCAGGCTGCTTGGGGACCAAGATCGCCTGGCCCGGAAATCCTGGGACTGGGAGAACCAGGTCTCAGCCCCAGCCCAGCCCTGTATTGGCCCAGGGGGCCGAGGAAGCAGCACGTGCGGTGCCTGTCCTGTCTGTCCACACCAGATCTACCCCGGCTGGACAGCAGCCTCGGGGGCCACCCGGAGCTGAGGGCTTCGGGGTACCTCCGGTCGTACCTCGCCTGCGCGGAGCTCCACGCTTCTGAGCCTGCCACGCAGGGTTCCTGCCCTGAGCCTTGGTTTGCTGTCGGTGAGGTGGGGGTGACACAGAGCTCACACCAGCAGGCCGTGAGGGCGGAGCGTCGGGAGGGCCGCGTAAAGGGAGCTGACGACTAGTGTCAGGTTGTCTCACTGCGAAAGGCAGGAAGCCCGGGCCCACTGCGGGGTTAGGCAACTGTGGCCACGTAATGCCATCCACGCACCCTGCTGTGTCGGGGCCGGGCCGCCAGTCCCAGTCAGATAGCCACGTGGCTGTCCTGTCCTGCAGAGTGTCTCCTGGAAGCTCCTCCACAGCTCTGGGACACTGTGCGGTCTTTCCAGCACGATACCTTGGCGCCAGGGCCCCAGGCTTGGGCCTCCCGGGAGTCGAGCTCCAGCCTTCTCAGGCGGGGAATGCGGGCCGGTGTAGAAGCTGGGAAACGGCCTCCTTCACAGCCGGGCAACTGGGGCGGCCAAGGGGTGCTGAAAGAGGGTTCGGCCACCCAGGATGGCCCAGAGTCCTGCTGGGGTCCAAGTAAGTCGGGGAGCAGCCTGCCTCATCCAATGGAGGAGGGAGTATATGGGGTGCATGGATCCTCGCTTGTGTTTGGGAAATATTATTAACAATTAAAAACCTTAAATCTTGGTGACATTCCTGATGGCCGGATAATTAATACACGAGCAGATAATAATTACTCAATGATTAATAGCTGCACTTAATAGTTTTCTAAGTAATTATGATAAAGTTAAATGAAGACCCATCAAAGTTGCTGATGCCCTGTGCAGTGCGGGCACCTTGGTGCCGAAGGGTGGCCCTGGCCACAGTTGCCTCTTCATGCTGGATACACACAGTGAGGGCCCAGTACCCACCTCCAGGAAGCTAGGGTCTCTCTTTCTCAAGACTGGGCCAGGTGGACACAGCCTGTCTCTCTCCTTGCCTCTCTGGCTTATGTTGTGGCCACGTGGACGGCTCGGTGTGTTGGCCCAGGAGCCTCTGCCCCACCCCCACTGGGGTCCCAAATCTCAGAGCTAGTGCATGGGGACACCCTCTGCCCCCACGAGCTGCCTCCCAGTCCTTCTACTGCCCCAGCCTCTGGCCCCTGAGTGTACCCCTTTATCATCAGATTTGGCAGATATTCCTCCAATCTGATCTGGGGTTTTTCCATCTGCCAGTTCTCACTAAAGTGAGAGTGGTTGCTTGGTTCTGCCCTAATGCTCCAGGCTTGGAGCCTCATGAGTTCATCCATGTGAGCCTTCTCTATAAGGGAGGAGAGGAAGAGGGTGATTTCCAGACTGGAGGACTGGCATCCTCTGCCCCAAGTCCATCAGCTCTGCCAGCCCTGGAAAGAGGCTTGGAAGTGGACAGGAGCCCAGGCGGTAGCAGGTGCTGGAGGTCCCCTGTCCCACACGAGCCGGTTCCACTTTGTTCCCACTTGCCTGGCCCGACTCCCAGCGGGCACTGCCGTGTGCCTCTCCCCTCCTCCTCCACGTGGGGCCATCCTGAGCCACCCACCCTCAGAGCACCTTCCTCTGGGTCTGAGGTGGGCGCCTGTCCTGGCGTGGCCTGGCTCACGGCGGACTGGCCGGCCCTGGACATGGCGGACAAAGGGCCAGATGTTGCACCCCAGGGGTCCTGGGTGCTGAGCCTCAAAGTCTCCTCAGCGGGGAGGATGTGAGAATGAATTTGAAGGACTTGTGGATCGCCCGGCCCAGGCCCTACAGTGCTCTCAGGAGCATTCGTCAGTTCTCACCAAAGTGTGAGCCCGATGCGTCCATGGGTACAGCTTTAACCCTTCGGCAATGGTGACACTGAGGCAGATAGAAGAGGGCTCAAGAGCGAGGAGGCCTGCAGCCCAGCTCCCAGAGAGAGAGGGGAGAGAGAGCCGACACTTTCCTTATACCAGCAAGGGACCCATGGCGCCTCTGCTGCAGCCACCCCTCCCAGCTCAAACAGTCACCAAGAGATAACAGAAAACGCCAGCGTGGAGGCCTGGCCTGTCCAGGACCAGACCTCCCTGCACTCAGAAGTCATCGCTTCGACGGCGACGATGGAGCAGGTGCGGCCCTGCTGACTGGGGAGCAGGGTGGGCAGGGAGATGGCGTGGTAGGCAGCACGTGTGGGTTTTGTGAATTTAAAATTTTCCAATGTACAATATTAAGAAAAAGGTACAGCTGGTGAAAGAAAGGCCCAGGGTGGTGGGCCCTGGGAGGCCCGCCTGTCCTTGGGCGCGGGTCAGGGGGTGTGGTGCAGTCCCAGTTTGGAGAGGAGCACACCCCCATTCCTCTGTTTCACAGTGCATCTGGATGGGTAAACAGGCTCCAGAGGGTCAGGGCTGACCCAGGGTTTGAAGGCCAGCTGGGGCTCTGGGGCGCTTGGCCCCTGACTGCTCCCTTCCCCACCCCACCCAGACCCTCTGCCCAGACGCACTCGGGCCCGGGTCACTGAGCCAGCAGTGTCCCTGAGCTGGGCTCCCTCACCCTGTCACAGCTCCATCTGGGTCGGACGGCTGGCTCCTCTGAGCCTGATGGCTCGTTGAGGCTTCTCCTGGGGGAGCATCCCTCACCCCGTGGCCGCCGGCATCATGTGCTCCCCAAATGCCCTTCCCTCGCAGGTACCCAGTGCCCTCAGCCCCGACTTACCCCTCCTGCCCACCCTGCCCCATCACTGCCCTGCCAGCCCAGGGCTCTCCACACCTCCACTCTCCACTGGCTTCCGGAGGGGGTCCTGGGAGGCCACCGGGTAGGGTGACAATGGAAACACGGGCCCACAGGTCAGCTGACAGGGGCGGTCCACCCCCACCCTGCCTCGGCGTCTCCATCTGTAGAGCGGATCTGAGACAAGGACAGGCCGGTCCCCGGTGTCGAGCCAGTCCAGCCGCCAGCCTCCCTCTGATGTGGGGTCCCTCAGGGGAGCAGAGACACGGAGTACTCGCCGACCAGAGCCCGAGGGCCATGACCTCAAGACACGGAGACGTTTGCCACGTCTGGGGGTCCCCGTGAAGTGCCTCGCCGCCCTATGGCGTCTGCCTCGGAGCCAGCAGCAGAGGTAGGGGTGGAGCGGGGTGCGTGTGGCCTCTCCGAGCACTGCGCTCAGCCAGCAAATGGGACAATGACATGGATGTCCTTTGGGCCCCTGCCTGAGCCTGGGAGACCGGCCGTGGCAATCCCTCCCCATTGGCCCTTCGGGGCGGGGATGAAACTGAGTGAT